CCCTGCCTCTGCCTCTGGTCTCCGAGGGCCCCGGAAAAGGCCAGCGAAAACCGCTGCCGGAGCCGCGCCTCCGCAGAGAGCCTTCCTGTCTTCTGTCGGCTGCGGGTCGTGGCGGCCTCCAGCTTCGCCGAGCGCGTTCCGCGACTCGCGAAGTACCTGCTCGCAAACGTCCGAAAACACACATGTCTGTATAATTCATTGTAGATCCCCAGCGACGGATCCAGGCCATTTGCGAGTAGTGACAATGCGAGTAGTGGAGAGGTTCGTCGATAACTGGTCCTGTCGTCAGCTGTGGTCTGCTATCGTTTGCCATCGTCCGCGGCGGCTCCTGGCGGCCCGTAGGTGTATGCTATCGTCTACTGTCGTCTGCCATCGTCTGCCATCGTCACTTTTCGGCTGCTATCGCCAGCTATCGTCTGTTATCGTCTGAACCCAAGCACCCACAGCGTTTCTGACTACACTGTGTATATACATGCCTATACGACCACCTTTGGGGTGATAAGGAGGTTCGGGGGGGAGGAACCAACGTCTCACTCGATCGGTCTCAGTATCGATCTCACTATCGATCTCATCATCGGTCTCGCTCGATCGAATTCACTCGATCGATCTCACAATCGATCTCACTCGATCTATTTCATTCGATCGATCTCACCATCGATCTGACTATCGATCTCGCAATCGATCTCAATCGATCTCACAATCGATATCACATTTGGTATCACTATCGATCTTACCATCGATATCACAATCGATCCCGCAATCAACGTCATCATCGTCATCAACATCATCGTCATTGACGTCATCCGCATCATCATCATCATCATCATCGGGACACCATCACCATCACCTCATCCCCATCATCATCACCATCATCTTCATCACCATCATCATCATTTGGGCACCATCATCGTCACCATCATCATCATCAGCAACATCATCATCATCATCATCATCATCATCGGGACACCATCATCATCATCATCGGAACACCACCACCATCATCCTCATCATCCTCATCATCTCGTCATCATCATCATGAACAACATCATCAACATCATCATCATCGGAACACCATGGTCATCATCATCACCACCATTACCATCATCACCACCACCACCATCATCATCATCGTCATCATCATCGGGACACCATCATCATCGTCACCATCATCACCATCACCGTCATCATCATCATCATCACCGGGACACCATCATCAACATCAACATCAACATCAGCATCATCATCATCATCCCCATCATCGGGCCACCATCATCAAAATCGCCATCATCACCTCATCATCACCCCCATCATCATCATCATCATCATCATCATCGAAACACCATCATCGTCATCATCATAATCATCATCACCATCATCATCATCATCATCACCATCATCATCATCATCATCAGCATCATCATCATTATCGTGGCGCCATCATCATCACCATCATCACGGGCAACCAGGGTGAACAAGAGAGATCTGAGGGAGCAGAGGGGTGGCCTTGGAGGGCCTCTTCGGGCCATCCCAAGGGCCCAAAGCTCTTTTTGGGGCATCTTGGGGTCCCTTGGGGCATCTTGGGAGGTCTTGGGGTCCTCTTGGGGCTCTTTTGGAGCGCCTTGGGGCCCTCATGGGGCCCTCTTGGGGTCCTCTTGGGGCTCTCTTAGCCTCTTGGGGCGCTCTTGGGGCCATCTTGGTGCGATCTTGGGTGCTCTTGGGGCAATTTCGGGGGCCTCTTGGGCCCTTCTTGGAGCTCTCGTGGACCGACCACCTTAGTGCCACCTGGCGGCCCCCAAAGCGCATCGGAAGCGAAAGGGCGAGAAGGCAACATTCATGTGTTTCCTCTGGTTTTTGAATTGTGGCTTCTCGGGGAGGGTCGACAAAAGCACCCGGAACCGTCGTGTGGCCCTTTTGGGGCCTCTTGGAGGCATGTGTTTAGCTATCTTGAGCCATGTTGAGCTATCTTGAGCGGTCTTGGAGGCCATTTTGGGCTCCCGGAGGCCCTCTTGGAGCCATCTTGGGCCATCTTGGACGCGCTGACCGCTCGCGACCCTCCGTCCAGGTCCAGGGGAGGGGTAGGGGGAGGGGTGCCCCCCTCCCCGAGGGGGAAGAAGGGTTGCTCGAAGAGGAAAGAAAAACATCGTTAGACCACCTGCGCCCAGAGGGCTGGTGGGATTTCAGTACTCACCGCCGCTCTCTATTTATCCACCTCTTCGTGGTCTTCATCTTACTCCTCCTCCTCCTCCTCTTCCTGCCCATCCCCCCCTCCCCGTCCATTCCATTTCTCCTTTTCTCCCGCCGCCTCGACATCCTCCACCTCGTTCTCCATCTCCTCTCTCTCCTCCTCGTCTTGCTCCCGTCGTCATCGTTGTCGTCCTCCTCCTCCCTCCTCCCACTGCCTCCCTCCGCCTCCCCCCCTCTCCGCATCTTCCCGATCCTCCACCCCCCTCTTTCCGACCTCCTCCTCCTCATCGTTGTCCCCCCCCGGGCATTTCTCCGTTCCTCCTGTCCTCATCCTGTCCGCCTCCTGTCGTCCTCTTCTTCCCCTTCCTCCCTCTCTCCCTTCCTCCCCCCCTCGCTCCCCTCGCTGCTTCTCCGTCATCCGCCGCCCTCCTGCTCTTCCTCCTCATCTTCCCCCTCCTCCTCCTCCTCCTCCTCCTCCTTCTCTTCCTCTTCCTTTTCCTCGTCCTCTTTCCTCTCTCCCCCTCCTCCTCCTCCTCCTCCTCCTCGTCCTCCTCCTCCTTTTCCTCTTCCTCCTCCTCCAGCTCCTCCTCCTCCTCCTGCTCCTCTTCCCCCTTTTCCTCGTCCTCTTCAACCTTCTCCTCCTTCTCCTCCTGCTCCTCCTCCTCCCCCCGTCTCCTCCCCTCCCCTCCCCTCCTCTCCCCTCCCTCCCTTCCTACCTCCTCCTCCTCCGTTCCATTTCCTTATACATAACTTCTCCCTTTCGCACCCCGACGCCAGTTTTAAGGGCGAGCTGGTCGTTTCGCCTGAGACTTCCTCACCATGTATGACCCTGAAGCTTAAACATTGGCAGCAGTGTCACACATGGAGGGCGGGTCGTTGTCAAACTGTGGCTCTGACCTTAGCGACGCGCACATTCATTTTCAGTTCTTGACGCTTCGCGTATCCCCACCAGCCTTCCCTGGATGCCTTCAGCCCGTCTGCTTTCCCGCGCAGCCCCGCTGCTGCTTGGTGAGTGGGCCGGCCGGCTTGCGGCGCGTTTAGTAGCTCATTCGGCCTTTTCCGTGTCCCGGAACGCTTCTGGCTCCGCCTGCGCTCTCGCTGGTGGACGCGACCGAAAAAGTATCCCCACCAGCTGTCAGACTGCACGTTGCCCGAGCTTCCCTGGGTGCCCTCAGCCTGTCAGCCTCGCCGCGCGGCTCAGCAACTGCTTTGTGAGCTGGCCCGGCCGACCTGCTGCGCGCCTAGTAGCTAATTCGGCCTGTTTCCGCGCCCCGGACAGCTTCTGACTCCGCCTGCGCTTTCGCTCGCGGACGCGACCGAACAAAAGTATCCCCACCAGCCCATCCAGAATTGATTGCCAGCTTTCTTGAGGCCTCTTTGGAGGCTATCTTGAGCCATGCTCGGCTAGAGGCTGTCGGAGGCTAGAGGCTGTCGGAGGCTCTTTGGGGGGTCTGGGAGGCCCCTTGGGGCCGTCTTGGGCACCATGGCTCAAAAAGAGGGGGGGGGGGGGGGGGAGAAATCCCCCCCCCCCCACCCACCCCCCTCGGAGGCTCTCAAACGGCATCTTGGGGCCCTCTTGGAGCGATCTTGGGCGCCTCTTGGGCGATCTTGGGGTCGTCTTCGGCCTTCTTGGGCCCCTCTTGGGCCTCTTTTGGGTCATCTTGGGGCCATCTTGAGGCTTCCAAAGCCCATCGGAAACGAAAAGGCGATAATGCCAGAAACGTTGATCTTCCCAGGCTTTTGAACGGTTTTGGCATCTTGGAGGGCGCCGTGGAGGGCTCGAAGGGCACTTGGATCCGTTTTGGGGCTGTCTTGGGGCCTTTTGGGGGTATGTCGGAGGCTATCTTGACCCATCTTGAAGTAGCATGGGCCATCTTGGAGGCCATCTTGCGACTTCGAATCCCTCTTGGAGCAATCTTGGGCCATCTTGGACGCTCTAACGTCTCGGTGCCCCCCCTCCCTGGCCCAGTGGAGGGGGTATGGGGGAGGGGTTTCAGTGGAAGAGAGAAGAACAAACGCGTTATACCACCTAAGCCCAGAGGGCTGGTGGGATTTTACAAGAATTCCATTGCTTGGGGGCGAACTGTTTTCAACATGTGGCTCTTGCCTCGGTGCCGCGTACGTTCGCTGTAAACATTTGCAAGGGTTTCACGGAATGAGGGCGGTTCCTTGTCAAAAGGTGGCTCTCGCTTTGGTGCCGCGCATATTCGTTTTTAACATTTGCAAGAGTTTCACGGAATTCCATGGTCAGCGTACCATAGTTGGTGTTTTGGACGACTCAGGATTCTGAGGGTGCAGCAGTTACGCTGACTCGCGGTGTTGAAGTCCCAGGAATGACGCTCTGGCGCGATCCAGGATCGTCAAGACGCAGCAATCAGTTGAATCCGTGGCGTTGGAATCCCGAGACCAATGTTTTGGTATGCTTCGGGGTATTCAAACGGATATTTCTACCAACGCGGCAGTTTCCCCAGTGGAGATGAACCGTTGTAGGGGCCTCTGAGGAGGGAGCTTGGAGGGAGGATTCATTCCAATATTGCTGATGGCTCTTGGGTTTACACTGGTCCTCCTTCTCCTCCTCCTCCTCCTCCTCCTCCTTCTAGTCCTTCTCCTCCTCCCTCTGCCTCTCCATCCGACGCTTCCTCATCCCTCCCCCCCTCCTCCTGCTCCCTCCTTCCTGCTCCCTCCGCCCTCCGCCGTCTGCCCTCCTCCCTTCTTGCTCCCCTCCAGCCTGCATCCTGCTTCTGCTCCTCCGGCCCGCCTCCCTGCGCATGCCAGTCCTCCTCTGGTTGCTTGGCGGCTGCCGTCTTCTCCTCCAGGCTTGTCTACGGCCTCCCGTTCGAGGAAGCCCTGGAGCCGATTGTCGAGCAAGACGGTGCGGGTCTCCGAATCCTCGGGCGTCGTCATCGGTCGTCGTCGTCGTCGTCCTCGTCCTCGCCCTCGTCGTCGTCGTCGTCGTCCTCGTCGTCCTCGTCGTCCTCGTCCTCCTCGTCCTCATCGTCCTCATCGTCCTCGTCGTCGTCGTCGTCGTCGTCGTCGACGTCGTTGTCGATGTCCCTGCTCCTCCTCTTCCTCCTCCTCCCCCTCCTCCTCCTCCTCCTCCTCCTCCTCCTCTTCCTCCTCCTCCTCCTGCTCCTCCCACCCCTCCCTGTTCTTCCCTACTCATGCTGATCGTCCTCCCCATCAGATGCTCTTCCTCCGCAATTTTTCCTGTTCGTTCCTCACTCCTCCCTCTTTCGCCCTTCCAGATCACTCGTTCCCTCACCTCTTCCTTCGTTCCTCCTCCGTCGTCCCTCCTCCGTCGTCCCTCCTTCGCCCTCCTCCCTCTCCCCTGTTCATCACCCGCCCCTCCCTCCCTCCCTCCCTCCCTCCCTCCCTCCCTCCCTCCCTCCTCCTCCCTCCCTCCCTCCCTCCCCTCCTCCCCCCCCCTCCTCCTCCTCCTCTTCTTCTCCTCCTCCTCCTTCCTCCTCCTCCTCCTCCTCCTCCTCCTCCTCCTCCTCCTCCTCCTCTCTCCTTCTCCTCCCTCCTCCTCCTTCCCTGCTCCACTCGCCTCGTACTGCGACCTCCCTTCTCCCGATCTCTAGTCCCGCGAACTCTTGTCCCGAGCCCCTCCTAAGACATTTTCTCACCTCCCTTTACTCTGGATGGTACAGTTATCGCCCCCCCCCTTGAATCCGCTGGGGGGGTTGGGTTGGGCACGTGCTGTCGCCACGGGTGGAGGGGGGAGGTGAGGAAGAGGAGGAGGAGGAGGACGAGGGGAGGGGGAGGAGGATGGAGGGGGCGGGATCGGGCGAGCTCAGTCGGAAGGTCCATCACCCCCCCTCGATGCATACCCCATCCAGAGTGCCCCCTTGCGCGCGCCACCAAGCCTACTCCGAGCTTCTCAATCGGCGTCTGGAAGGTCGTCACCCCCGCCGACGGCCCCGCATCGACCCCCGTCGCGGGCCGCCGCCGCGCGTCGAGGGCGCTCCGATCCCCGCCGCGGCGCGACGGCGAGGCGAGGTTGACCTCCGTCGGGGGGTACCCGCCCTCCTCCTCCTCCTCCTCCTCCTCCTCCTCCTCCTCCTCCTCCTCCTCCTCCTCCTCCTTGTTCTAAGGTGCATGGGGCTCTTGCAGCGGGGCAGCGGTGCAGGGGCCCGCTCTGGGCAGCCTCCCGCATCGCCTCGCCCCTGCCAGCTCCTTGGGCCGACCATGTTCGGACTTGAGGGGTTGCTTCCGTGTGCATCCCAGGGGTCAGGAGTGCCCAGAGCCGCAGACGGCACGACCCCCGACGGCCTTATCCTTATCCTCCTCCTCCTCCTCCTCCTTCTCCTCCTCCTCCTCCTCGTCCTCCTCCACGCCTGTTGCGAGACCCAGAGCATCCTGGAGAGCGGGCCGCGAGCTCTTCTGTGGCCCACGCCCGGGGCGGCGCGCCACGGGGAGGAGGAGGACTGCCTCGGGGCCGGGGCCGGGCTGCCCCCACCCCTTCGGGAGCCTTGAGACGGGGGTCAGTGCAAACGGGGGTCAGCCAGGGCACCAGGTCCTGCAGGATCTTGCAAAGACCCCCTCTGGCTGACCCGGGTTAGCGAGCCGCTCGTGGCCGCAAGGCGGCTGCGCATATTGGCTGACCCGGTTCTGCGAAGATCTGCTTTGCAGTTTTTTTCCCTGCATTGCAGTTTTTGGTTTCTTGCTGACCTGGGTCTGGATTGGCCCGGGTCAGAAGATCCCCGACCCCTGCCAAGGTCGGGCGATCGCAGACATGGATCAAGGGGGCGTGGATTCGCGACGGGTCCCGTTGCCATCGGGCATCGCGGACTTCCGCCGCCGAGCGAGGCGGCGCCAGCAGCATTTTGGGGAGGTCACCTGCCCGATCCATGGTTTTGGCGACCGCGCGCCGAATCCACGGATCGCTATGTCTCTGGGGGCCTGCCGGCGGTCCCGCGCCAGGCCGGCGCGCTCCCCCCTTTCGGGGAAGCTCGGGAGGGGAGAGACGCACAGGCACAAGCAGTCGTCGACTCCCAGGGACAAGACATGCAGGCACGAAGAGTCGTCTCCCCTCTCGGGGAAGCTCAGGAGGGAACAAACGCACAGACACAAATGGTCGTCGACTCCCAGGGAAATGTGGAGACAGATGGGCAGTGGGGGGGGAAGATGGGACTCCAGAAAAGATGGACAAATATGGAGGATCTTTTTTTTGTGTGTATGTGTGTCCCTGGGCCCCTTGCGAAAGGTAAGACTCGAGTGCGCCGGAACTCTGGCTCGGCGACGCCTTCTGACGAGCGCGTCCTGGATTCTGGCGGCCCTGTTTCTGTGGGATGTTTGCGGCGGGAACTCGCGTCAAATTTCAGCGTGGTTCTCGTCATTTCCATGATGGCTTCGTCAGGCTGGGGCCATCTCGCTCTACAGGTGGAATATTCAAGACTGGTAGACAGGAGTCTTGGGACGCTTTTCGACCACTCGTCAAACATTTTCAGCACAGCTTTGGTTCGATGGTCGCATTGTTCTTGGCATCGCTCGGACGTGTGCGTTTTTCCTTCGGCGAGGACCATCGATGAGCATCCTCGACCGCCTGGCGAAAAAAACACGCACGAAACCGAACAAAAACACGGGGAATGGACGTCCGAGCGATGGCGAGTGTCAGGGTGTCCACTGTCATGTTTTGTAAAACACATGTCTCAAGCATGTGAAAACCTGTTCTTACGCGTTCTTCGAACACCTGTCAAGCATTTTCAGCACATCTTTGATTCAACGGTCGCATTGTTCTTGGCATCCCTCGGACGTGTGCATTTTTCCTCAGTCGAGGACCATCGAGGAGCGTCCTTGATCATTAGGCGAGAAAGCCGCGCACGAAACCGAACACAAAGCACGAGGAATGGACGTCCGAGCGATGGCGAGTGTTAGGGTGTCCACATGCTCTTACATGTGAACAAAAAACATGCTCTCACACACTCCTCGAACACTCGTCAAGTGTCCACTGCCAGGGCATCCACGAGCAGAGGGGCTCGTGCCCTTAACCTTAAGTCGGGCCTGTCCCTCTACAAGTGGGATTTTCGACGAAAAATAGGAAATAAAAAAGACCCAACATTTTCCAAAAATAGTCAATCAATAGCCTGGGGACTATGTTTAAAGTATTTTTTGACCTTTTTGTAGCATTTTTTGTTTGTTGTTTTTTTGTTTTAAAACATGTTTCGTTGAAGATCCCCCCTGTAGGGGGACACGCCCGACACAACCTTAACCCGCGCCCTCGTGGCCGCGCCTCGACCTGCGGCCGCTCGCGCCCCGACCTGCGCGCGCGCCCCGACCCCGCCCGCGCGCCCGCGCGCCGCCGCGCCGTCGCGCGTGCGGAGGGATGCGCTCCCGCGGGCTGCCCCGAGCGCACGCCTCGAGCACACGCCGCGCGCCTCGGCAGCCGGGGGCTCGAGGCGCAGGAGGATGGAGGAGGCGGAGGAGGCGGAGGAGGAGGAGGAGGAGGAGGGGGAGCAGAAGGAGGAGGAGGAGGAGGAGGGCGAGGAGAGCAGGAGGAGGCGAGGAGGAGGAGTATGAGGAGGAGGAGGAGGAGGAGGAGGAGGAGGAGGAGGAGGAGGAGGAGGAGGGGGGGGAGGAGGGATTCTCAATTGGACCCCCCCGAGCACTACGTCCATCGCTGCGCCCCACCGCTGCCCGCCCCCCGCAGGGCCGGCGAAGCTCACGTTCTTCCTGGGCGACGCTCCGTACCTTTACGGCGAGTTCAGGCCGCCCCGCCGCCCCGCGATCCTCGCCGTCCTCGCCGGGCGTCTTCGTGTGTCATCGTCCTCGTGCTCGTCCTGATCTCCAGCCCCATTCCCGCCCACGTCCTCGGTCGCACCCGCATCGCCATCCCCAGTCCCATCCTAATGCCCGCCCGCATGCCGAAGCTCATTCGCATCCTCGCCATCATCACCATTATAACCGCCATCATCACCGTCATATTCATCACCACCATGATCATCACCAATATCACAACCACCACCATCATCACCATGATCATCATCATCACCACCACTACCACCAACATCACCACCATCATCATCGTCGTCACCATCATTATCATCATCATCATCATCATCATCATCGTCATCATCATCATCATCATCATCATCTTTATCATCACCATCATCGTCGCCGTCATCATCATCAACATCATCATCACCATCAACATTATCACCACCACCATCACCATTGCCATCACCATCACCATCACCATCACCACCACCGCCATCACCATCACCATCACCATCACCATCACCATCACCATCACCGTCACCATCACCATCACCATCACCATCACCATCACCATCACCATCACCATCACCATCACCATCACCATCACCATCATCATCACCATCACCATCACCACCATCATCATCATCACCATCACCATCACCATCACCATCGCCATCACCATCACCATCACCATCACCATTACCATTACTATTACCATTACCATTACCATTAACATTACCATCACCATCACCATCGCAATCGCCATCGCCATCGCCACCACCATCACCATCACCATCACTATCATCAACATCATCAACATCAACATCATCACCATCATCACCATCATCCGCATCATTACCACCACCATCACCACCACCAGCATCATCATCACCACCATCACTATCATCAGCATCATCACCATCATCACCATTATCATCATCACCACTATCGTCATCACCACCACCGCCGTCATCATCATCGTCATCATCATCACCATCATCGCCACCATTATCATCACCACCACCATCACCATCACCATCAGCATCATCACCATCATCATCACCATCACCATAATCAGCATCGTCACCATCTTCATCACCGTCCTCATCCTTATCCTAATCCCCATCATCATCATCATCATCATCACCATTATCATCATCACCATCATCGTCACCATCGTCGTCATCACCATGAACCTTATCATGAACATCATCATCATCATCATCATCATCATCATCATCATCATCATCATCATCATCATCATCCTCTTCCTCATCATCATCCTCATCATCATCATCATCCTCATCCTCATCCCAATCCTCATTCTTATCCTCATCCACATCCTTATCCTCCTCCTCCTTCTCCTCCTCCTCCTCATCATCATCGTCGTCATCGTCATCATCATCAACAACAGTATCAGCAACACCACCACCACCGCCACCACCACCACCACCAACAACGACAGCATCACCAAGACCGCGCTCTTCCCTGCTCTCATCATCCGCGGCGATTTGGGCTCCAGCTCTCTCAGGTTCGCCGTCCCCATGCGCGGCGGCCCGTGCGGCGCGGGTCTGCTGGCGCGGGTGGCATGGCGCGGGTGGCCAGAACCCTTCTTTGCCCATTGCGCCCCGCCGTGCTGCGCGAGCCTCCCAGTGTGTGGGCGCGCTGGTGTGCGCGCCGAGCTGCGGCCGCGCGCGCCTGCGGAAGCGGGATCGGCACCAGCAGGCCACGGCAGAGTCGGCGCTCGACGAGCTCGTCGTCGACCTGGGTGCCTCGTGGCGCCGTCGGCATAACGTGGCAAGGACTTCTACTTCTTGCGGGCGCTACCTGGGAGGCTCGGCGAGCTGCGCGATTCGCAGGGCACTGATCGATTGACACAGGCTTGATGGAGGTGATGAGTTATTTTCTTAGCACGGAAGGAAAGGCCGAGGACGCTCACGCCAGTCGGCGCAGCGGCGCGGGCAGCCGCCGCTGCCCTCGCCGGCGAGGCCGCGGAGGTGCGCGGCGCTCCGTGCCGCGGGCACCAGCGTGGGCGGCGGCGGGCGCCGCCGCTCCTCGCCGAGGCCAGGAACTCGAGCAGGGGATCGGCCGCAGCTGCCTCGGCCGCCCTCGCGTCCTGGCGGGCGAGGCGGCGCAGCGGTCCGCGCGCGAGGAGCAGGAGGCTGGCCCGGTGTGCTCCCGAGGGTTCTGCGGGCTCTGCGATCGGCGTCGCCCCAACGTGCTGATGCTGTGTGTGCGTCGCCCCTGGTCCAAGGCCTTCAGAGAGTGCCCTCCCTCTTCCCCCTGGCTCTGCGGCCGCCCTCCGCCCCCTCGTTTTCTTTTGCCGCCGGGCGCTTGGGCCCCGCCAAGTCGAGCGCGCGCTTCAGGTTGCCGCTGCCGCGCTGCGACGGAAAAAGTGCGTTGCCTCCGGGGCGACCCGCGCGCCGAGAAATCTTGTAGTTCTACTACAAAACGGTTCTATACATGTTCGGGTCGGACGCGCGCTTCCAAGGATGAAGTGCTCGTCTGCTCTCGTGCGTCCCAGGTGGGTGCTGACGGCGCTGCTGGTTCCGGGGGTCCCCTCGGGGACCTCTGGTCCTGACGCGCGCCCGCAGCGCGCATGCGGAGCCGTGGCTGCTCCAAGTCTCGACATCAAACCGAGCATCCAACCGGCGCGCAGCACAGCAGCTTGGAGTGCGGAGCTAACTTCCCACCGGAAGCTGATGCCAGTGCTAGTACACCATCCGATTGACCTGGTCAGCAGAGGTGCTTCAGGGAGGGGCATGCTTTCAGGGAGGGGAAGCAACGACGCATCCGTGCGTGCCTGCGGAAGGTCGACCGTGGCGGGCTGACCCTATTGCGCTTCGAAGTTCGAAGAAGAAACAGTTGTATACTCGCAGGCCTAGAGGTTGACACCAACACCAATTTCGGCGGTGTGCCTCCACCGAGGGAAGAAGATCCCGATCTCGGTGATGGTGGTAATATTCTGGCTTCTAAGGTGGCCGAAATATTGCCACCAACACCAAAATCTAGGATCATCTTCCGCATGTGGAGGCACCCCCCTGTGCTGGTGTTGGTGCTCATTTCTGGGCCTCCTATATACATGAAATTTTGGATCGCCGCGCAGTTTTCTTGGATCGGCGTCGTCGGCTTTCCATGTGGCGCGGGAGGGGCGTCCAGCGCCGATTCAAGAAACCCGCGCGGAACTCCAACAGGTTCTGTTCATGCAGTTGTCTTTTCGCAAGAAGCGCACCTCAGCCGAGGTCGAGTGGGAACAGGAAAGGACCGGTCCTTCAACAGAGGCGGATCACAGAAGGCGGCACGCGTGCCGGCGGAACGCCGACCTGGGTGAGCTGGCCCGGCTGCTCCAGAGAGCTGTTTTTTTTTTGTTTTTGCATTACGGTGGCCGAGGGGGAGCAGAACAGGAGCAGGGGCCCTCTTCGGGAGCAAGTCCTGGGAGCCATTTGTTCTTTCGCAGTTGCGTCTCAGGGGTGCGTTCGCGCCGATTTTCATATGGTATCGTCGATGGGAAAATGCAGACTTTTTGCCGACTTCTCGCCGATGAGCGTCGATGAGCGCCGATGTAGTGTCGGTGAGCCTCGATGTCGCAATAACTACAAAAACTCGGTATGGGAGGTTCGCGTGAGCTGCCGCAGAAGGCCCACCGCCGAGGCGAGACCCGCGGCCTTCCTCCTCCATCTGTCATCCGCAAGGATGCAGTAGCCTTTCTTTGAAGGAACGCGTCCTGCGGGCGCTTGGAAGGGGGGGGGAGGGGCGGACCCAGCCCCCCCCCTGATTTTAGGGGGGGGTCGACTCCCCCGCCCCGGGCCTGCGCCGGCGCCGGCGGCGGCCCCCCCCTCCCCCTCCAAGGCCGGCGCCGGCGCCGGCGGCGGCTGACGGCGGCGGCGGGGAGCACCGACGAGGACGACGATTTTGAGGGGGGTGGGGAGGTTCGAACCCCCCCCCCATTCCTCCTGGCCAACGCTGGCGCCGGCGCCGGCTGGCGGGGGCGGCCGCTGCGCGGGCGACGACGACGAGAACGAGGACGACGACGGCGACGACGGCGACGACGGCGACGGCGGCGACGACGACGATGGCGACGAGACGGCGACGACGGCGACGACGATGACAAGCACGACGACCACGACGGCGACGACAACGACAAAAACGAAGACGGCGACGACGGCGACGACGGCATGACGACGACCACAGCGACGACAACGGCGACGGCTACGACGACGGTGACGACGGCGACGAAGACGGCGACGACGACGGCGACGACGACGACGGCGACGACGACGATGGCGGCGGTGACCACGACGACGACGACGACGACGACGGCGACGAGCACGACGATGACCTCGACGGCGACGACGACGGCGGCGACGACGGCGGCGACGACGACGGCGACGACGGCGACGATGGCGACGATGACGTCGACGAGGGTGACGACGGCGACGACGGCCACAACAATGACGACGACGATGACGACGACGACGGCAACGACGACGACGGTGGCGACGGACCGCGACAACGACCACGAGCACGGCGACGAAGGCGGCGACGACGGCGACGAAGGCAACGACGATAACGACGACGCTGCGGCGACGACGACGACAGCGACAGCGACGACGACGACGATAACGACAGCGACAGCGACGACGACAAGCATGACGACGGCAAGCACGACGAAAACGCCGACGTTGAGGACGACGATGACGACGGCCACGACACTGTGGCGACCAGCGCGACGACGGCGACGACGACGACAACGACGACGACGGCGACGACAACAGGCATGACGACAGCGACGACGAGCACGACGACGACGACGTCGACGGCGACGATCACGACGACGACGAGCACGACGACTTGGACGGCGACGACGACGACGAAAACGCGTCGGCGACCACGTCGACGCCGCCGACGACGCCCACCATCAAGACGACGACGACGGCGACAACGACGACGATGACAGCGATGACGACGGCGGCGGCGACGGCGACGGCCA